GGACACGCCCCCTCGCCGGCCTCGCAGCGATGGCGCCTCTTCTCCTTCAGGTGACCAAGGGAGGAGAAACGTCCCTCGCCCGGCTTAAAACCGGCGGGATTAGGGGCTTCCCTGCCTCCACCCGCGCTTCAGTGCTTCGAAGTCCACTGCCCCATCAAAGGGGCTACCGGAACGCCCCCGCTCGCGCCAAAAACGAGGCGAAACGGGCGGAAGGTTTTCCTGATTTTCTTCCCAACGCCAAGCAAAGCCGCCGGAGCTGAAGGGCTTCCCCCGAGGCCAAACAAGAAGCTGAGATGGAGAAGCTGCACGGGACTCAGCGTCGTCCTGCAGAGCAGACTCACCAGCTGAAGGCGCTGCGCAAGAGGATGGTAGAGAAGGGGAAAGACCAAGAGATGGAGAAGGGGGACATCCCAGCGCACAGGGAGGACCTTCGATGGAGCAGGCTGGGATCTTCAGAAAGCGCCAGACAGGTGGTCCTGGACCTGTAGGAGCTGCTTCCTGCTTATGGTACCACAACAGAGGTCCCTGAAAGAGAAGGGCTGGTGCCCGAACATTGCCAGCACCAGAGGTGTTGGTGGGACGGGAGCTCTCGAGGTCTTAGTTCAACTTCCCGCTCGAAACAGGACCATCACCAACACCGGATCGGCACGGCTGGGGCTTGGTTTGAGCTTTGAAAGTCTGCCCAACCTGGGCTTCACCACCCTCCTGAAGGAGGAGAAGACATCAAGCAGGGGAGCCCACGCCTGTGCTCCCATGTCAAACTGCGCAGCCCCTTGAGACTCCTGCAGGGTCTGAGACAGGCAATGCCAGAGCCTTCTCCTCAAAAAGTTTAGATTATTTATAAAGACAATGGAAACCCCTAAACTAGCAGGACCCGACGTACACATTGATTACAAATCACAAGACAGGCAGCTCTCAGAGCTCATGAGTGCTTCGAACACCTGCAGGACGTTCCACCATCTTCTCCTTCCCTATTTGCACAGCTCAGACGGGCACTTCCCTGCCTACGGACGACCGTCTCCAAGTCTCTCTCCACCTTCCCCAAGCATCAGTCCCGGTCATGGAGAAGTTGTTAGTTCCTTCCCCTGACTCGGTCGCGAGATCTCGGCACTTCTAACCAACCTGGACTGTTTCTGCCGTGTCCTCCCTGCACACAGTCACAGTCCTTCAGCGTTCAGGGCTCCCTCCTGATCCACTGAGCCCATCAAACCCTGCTCTTCTGGGTTTCTTTTCCTCATTTTAGGAGCACAGCTTATTTTCAGGCGACCTGTGTCATTACAAAAGCACCACTCCCTTCTCCAACACTTGGTGGTTTTAAATAGAGCAGAGCCTCACCTCTGGAGAGGCCGAGAACAGCGTTCTTGTGTGTTCCTGACCTTCTGTACAGGCTCCCAGTGAATTTATTCCAAGGAAAGCTTGTTAACAGGCACACGAGGGCAGCGGTAGAGCTGCAGTTAAGGTTTCCTTACCACAAAGGTGCACACTTTGCTTCTTGCAAGCATGAGGAATATATGCTTAGAAGTTGGTTAATCACACAGAAGCAGGATTTAGAGAAAACCAGGAACATCCCGGTTGTAACTCCATCCAAACAGCCAAGAGGCAGCTCTTCTCCCACAGCTGAGCACCGCTACCCCCATCCGCCTTCACCCCCCCACCTCCTCCCCCAACCTCTTGTCCCCAAGCCACGCTCAGACCACCGCTCCTGCTCCATGCCACGCGGCTCCTTGCCTCAATCCCCCCCCCCAGCAACGCCCAAGACGGAAGGAAAACCTGCGCGAATCGGCTGCTTTAGGGACGCTGCTACAGTATCTATTTTGGGAAGCGTGTTTCTGAGCAGAGCTCTTGAAGCGGGGGGTCCACGGGCTCTCTCCTGGAGCAACAGCCGCTCTCTCCAAAGCTGTTCCCACCTCCTCCTCCTTTCGCCACGCTGTTTCACCGTCCACATTCAACACCAGACGATCGCCAGCTCCGTCGCTCCGCTCCAGCCAGGAAAACGCAACATTTCCTGCAAAGCACCGTGCCTTCCGTCCAACATTTCGAAAACAAACTCGGAAGAGGCAGATTCAAGACAATCTTTTATATACACACATACATACCACTTCTCCACCTCCTGGTTCTCCCAGCCCAGGGGACAGAAATCATCAATACATCCTCTCCTTCTTTAGACACCGTAACAAATATCCTCCTCCGGAAGCTTTTCCCTTCGGTGTATTTTTCTTTTTCAAAGCAAGTGACAATAACCAAGACAAGCGACACGTTTTGGACGGCAGCCTTCCCCGCAGCGTTCCACTGCGGATGGTTTTTATTTACCTGGGGCAGCAAATCGCTCCAGTTTCGCTCCCTCCCCAGTACAATTCCACTGGTTTCACCCAGAGACGGTCCTCAGATTTTCTTCTCTATAAACGCGGTATGTTGGCCCTGAAGGTAGCTCACGATCTTCTCCTCTATTTCCACGCCTCGCGCTATTTCCTCCTCAGAAAGGGACAACGGAGTCTGTGAGTCTTTGGTCACGATAATAACTGAGGTTCTCCGTGACTCCAGGGTATTTGCGACCACCACCTGGTGACGATACTTCTCCAGCGCCTGCCGCGATTTATCGATTAAGATCAAGGGATCCGTCTCCAGTTTAAAGGAAATAACAAACGCCTCCGGGGCCCATTCTTTGACGAGAGGAGACAGCATTTTTGGCACCATCTTCATCGTGATCTGCATCGGGGAAAAGCAGTAGAGAAAAGTTTCAGTAAAGATGTTACGATGCATAAGAGGCAGGGGAGGAGGGACGGGGAAATTCCAGCTTCAGTTCCTATTATTTTGACACTAGGAAGTTTTCCAAGGCAGTATTTGGTCAGGTCTCACCAAACAAGGTTAAAAAGCCCCTGACATGCACTGTAAAACTGAATTAGATCATCAGTCTGGTATTAACCATAAGCAGGGTGTTCTTAAGCGATGAGCAGGCCCACGGTAACTGGTTCTTCATTATTTAAGTGCTAAAACCCACTCTGGGCATACAAACATCAGCAGAGGAAGATAAAAAAAAAGTAATTACAACTGCAGAAGCCCGAGTTTTCAGCTCGCCAAAATCCAGTGACCTTGTCAAATTTTAACCCTTCTTTCTAACAACTCTTTAAGGGACGTGAGGCACCAAGATGCCCAAGTCTGTGTCCTCCAGCTCCTTAACCTCTGGGTCTGCCAGGTAGGGTTTCATTTTTCCTACACTGAGGATAAAGAATGAAGCTGAGCAACTGAAAGCTAATTAAATTAAACAAATTTGGGATTTGTTCTATGTCCACCTGCTCCCGCAGCTGAAAGGAACCTGGGCACGAGAGGAGGGGGTGGTAGACAGGGGCCGTGCCCGGGGGTGCCTCACCTGCAGGGGTCCCTCCGAGGACTGGATCTTGTGCTCGGACATCTCCGAGGTGGGGATGTAGAAATCCGACACGGCAGCTGCCAGGTAAAACATGACGCTGGAGCCTGGAGAAACACACCCGCCGTCACCCACCGCCGCTGGCGCCTCCCGGGCAGCCCCTCTCACCC